CACAGTCGATTATTCTTCTCACATTCGACTGTGATTGGTCAATTTCTTACTCTTACTTCTTACTCCGTGTATTGTAGACGGGCCTTTTAGATGTCATGAATCAAACACAAGGCCGCATTAGCGATTTAAGACATTACTTAAGACGGTCTTAAAATAAGAACCGACTATGAATACCGGCCTAACAACACTATCGATCCCGGGTCGATTCTGTATCTTTAATCAAGGTGAAAATTACAAAAGTGAGCAAATTTACTATGTGTTGACTAATGAAATTATTAGTATTCTAGTAAATTCACTCACTTTTGTAATTTTGACCTTGTTTCAAGATACAGAATTGATCCCCATGGGGCCAAATGAGACTATTGTTATAATGCATGATGGAAATATATAAGGTGAAGCAATCTGATAGATGCGCAGTAGGAAAGTGCATATTCGGACATATGTGATTGGCTATTCTAGTATAACCTGCGCTATTATAGGTAGGAAAGTGCATATTCGGACATATTTGATTGGCTATTTCCAGTATTGCTACCGCCATTATGCGTATTGTTTCACCTTATATATTTCCACCATGTAGTCTGTTTGCGTTGCTTGCACTTTTTGCACTTGGCATCTTCGCTTTCTCTCTTTTCAAAGCTAAATATATATCTATCTCATTTTAAGTGCAAAAATATTTGGGAATTTCATACAACGCTAACAGACCTATGGTTATAATGTATAGACTATACCACAGATGTCTATACTATACTAGATCGCTAACTTCGTCAAAAACAGTCGAGAGAGCTGAAGCCGGCGGGATTTCCGGTTTCGGCCATGATGGGAACAATAAAATGGCAGCGGTGCTTGTGTAGTAGTGCGTATGTGAGTATCTGGCGTATGTTAGTCACGTATGTGTCACTCAGCCACCTGCGTGTCGATACTTTTTCTGACTTTTTCTGTACATTCCAAGTAAAAAAAAGTGTAAAAATGCCGAAAAATTGTTGCATTATAAAATGCAAAAATAAAAGAAAGCAAGGTTTTCATTTCTTTAGGTAAGTAGAAAGCATTTATGTGTAATAAATATTCGAGGTTCGTAATATGTGAAGGTTATATATTTCAATTAAACGTTGTTAATATTTCAGATTACCGTTTACGCGTCCAGATGCGTTAAAAATGTGGATTAATGCCATCGGAGGAAATTTTGTACCAAAGAAAAATGATTTAATCTGTAGTGCTCACTTTGTACATACAGATTTTATGGAAAGATCAAATTCAAGTGACGTGCGCTTAAAAAATCTGGCTGTGCCATCAGTATTTCTGGAGGCTCCTGCCTCTGGCATTATTCCTGCGATAGAACATGACACAACTCCTGCACTGGAAGGTAGTACTATTGCAATGAAATCTAGCACCACTTCTTCGATAGGCATTACTCCTGTTCCTACATCTGCTGAAAAAAATTCATCTGCAATTGTGTGGAGGAGTATATTGAAACCAAAAGAAAACAATGCAACAGTTCTTGCTTCAATTCCATCGCCGAAGACACAATCTACAAGTGCTATTGATGATACTATAAAACTAGCTGTACGAAAGTCGTCAATAAAAGTCATGAGCAGTTCACTTTTAAGTTTGAAAAAGCCGGTAATGAGTCCACGGAAAAAACACATGTGGAAAATGATAAAAACATTGAAACAGAAGCTAAGGAGAAAAGAAGAAAAAATTAATTCATTGGATAATCTATTGAAATCTCTACGGTATATATGAGAACAAGTTATCCAGTGGGCCTATTCTGTAACTTGTAACGACAATTCGATATCACTTTACTGTCGTTGTACAGGTTTTATACCATGTAAAATATCTGTGCACCGACATCCCTAACTAGTAAAATTATCGTTAAAAAGTTTCAGAATAGATCTACAGCAAATACCAATTAGTTATATAACTGCTATAATTTTCTATTCAACAATGTAAATGCAATATAACATGTGTATTATGTAACAGGTATATTGTTGAATGGAAAATTATAATTAACAGTTATTGTTACTTTGTGTTTGCTGCATATAAATATGAATGTCTTAAGGCGATGCTCTTCCATGACCGGTATTCATAGTCGGTTCTTATTTTAAGATCATCTTAAGTAATGTCTTAAGACGCTAATGCGGCCCTCTGATTGGTTCGTAACACTTCAAGACTGAACTGACTATGAATACCGGCCTAAATTATGGACATTAGAGTCTTATAGAAATTCGGATAATTTTTATAAGACTCTAATGTCCATAATTTAAAAGCATCGCCTTAAAGCAATATTTGGTTACATATATTTGGGACTGTCTTGTTTGCCCACGACATGATTGGACACAGTCACTCACAGCGACTGGGCAACCGGATCTCATCCGTACATTTCAACTCGCAAATAAAAAAACAGACTGATCCAATGAAAGCGAGGTTAAATATGTATACAGTTTTGTGCAGATATATATATATATATATATATAT